CTATAGCCCCAGCTGTCCTGGAACTCACTATGTAGACCAAGCTGGCCTTGAACTCACAGAGATCTGCCTGCCTCTGCCTCTGCCTCCTGAATGCTGGGATCAAAGGTGTGCGCCACCACGCCCAGCTAGAGCTACTTTTTTGTTTAATTAATCATTGGACATATCTTAGGTAAATTCATTGATGATTAATCAGTAGAGCTTATAAAGAGGAACCTAGAGGCATTGATGGTAACTATTCTAGTCTTCAGTTTTTTAGCTGACATTGTTTTTGAAGTATCAAACTACTGTTGTTTGGGACATGTTTCTGGACTACATGGGCTGAGCATCTGCTCTTACTGCTCAGGTTATGAGGAATTCAGACATTTGTGTACAGAAATATGAAAACACTATGATAAACCTAGATGATTGATTTATTTCCCCTCAGATTCACCAGGACACAAGACTCACCAAACATGTGCCTTTACTCAAAAAGTCACTGGAGTTGTTAGTCTGCAGAGTCAAAGCCATGATTGTCCTCAACAATTGTACAGAGGCTTTCTGGATGGGTAATCTAAAAAACCGAGATTTGCAGGTAAGCCTTTGAATCACCAGTGATAAGCTCCCACTCCCATTCTGCGTAAGTGTATCAGAAGAAATATAAGATAGATCACCCAAGCCTGTTTTCCTAATAAGACTGCTTTTAGCTAGGCCTGCAGCACAGGCTTATAATCCCAGCTACTTGGGAGACTGAGGCAAGAGAATCAGAAGTTTAATGTCTGTCTGGGCTACAGAGTAAGTTCAAGATCAGCCTGACCAATTTAGTGAAACTTCCACAAAATAAAAAGTAAATAAAGGCTAGAGGTAGAACTCAGGCCTAGCATGTGTGAGAACCTAGTAGGAGAAAAAAAAAATAGACTATTTATGTCTATGGCTGTTTATATAGTTAAGGCACATTGCTCATTGGCCCTGGGCATAGGCTACAACCCTCAGTCCAATCAGCAAAGGTGCCAAAATATACCATGGATTTAAACAGGGAGGAACCAAATCAGTACAAGTCTTTCTCCATGCCAGAGGGGCACTTGTAAGTTCTGCTGAAGCCAGATTCATAACATTTTCATATGTGGACAGACTTTCTGAATTTTTTTCCTAAGCGAGTCTGTCTTACTGAAAATGCTCTCTAATTTTCACAAATGAGGATTTCTAGGATCTTTCAGTTGCCTGATAGTTTTTTTTTTTTTGGCAGGGAGGGGGTCATTTTGAGACAGGGTCTCCCTGTAACCCCAGTTGGCCTAGAACTTGTTATGTAGACCAGGCTGGCCTTGAACTCACAGAGATCCACCTGCCTCTGCCTCCCAAATGCTGGGACTACAGGTGTGCACCACCATGCTTGGCCTTATTTATTTATTTTTAATATTTTATTATTTTTATTTTATGTGTATGAGGTATTTATTGCCTGCATGTATGTGAGTGCACCCGTGTCGTGCAATGCCAAGGAGGTCAGAAGAGGGCTTCGGAGTCCCCTGGAACTGGAATTAAGGATGGTTTGTAGCTGCCATGTGGGTACTGGGAATCGTACCCAGGTCCTCTTGCAAGACCAGTCAGTGCTCTTAAGAGCTGAGCCATCTCTCCACCCCAGCCTTATTATTTTTATGTGTATGAGTGTACTGCCTGCATGTATGTAGGTGCACCCATGTCATGCATTGCCTGTGGAGGTCAGAAGAGGGTGTCGGATCTCCTGTGACTGGAGTTAGGACAGTTGTTAGCTACCATGTGTGTGATGGGAATCAAACCCAGGTCCTCTGCAAGAACAGCCAGTTCTCTTAACCGCTGAACCATCTCTGCAGCCCCAAGCATTGTTCACTTTCAAAGTTCAGATCCTCCTTATTCTGCTTACACTTGCTGAGTTTGGGTATTTATTTATTTATTTATTTATTTATTTATTTATTTATTTATTTATGTCTTTTTGTGACAGGGTCTCCCTATAGCCCCAGCTGTCCTGGAACTCACTATGTAGACCAGGCTGGCCTTGAACTCACAGAGATCCACCTGCCTCTGCCTCCCGAGTGCTGGGATTAAAGGCGTGCCACGCCCAGCTGGGTTTTTTATTTTTTATGTGCATGCATGTATGCTTGTATGAGTTTGTGTGTACTGTATGTGTGCCAGAACCCACAGGGGCCAGAGGAGGGAACTGGAGTTACAGGTGGTTGTGAGCTGCCATGTGAGTGCTGGGAACTGAACCCAGGTCCTCTGCAAGAGCAGCCAGTGCTTTTAACTGCTGACCCATCTCTAACCCAGCTAGCAGAGTTTTATGTTATATATGAAAAGAATAGAACAGAAGATTAGCTTTCTCTCTTCAAGTCAGCCATATGAAGTAGATTCTCTTGTTTGGGAAAAGTGAAGCTCAGAATAGCAACTTATATTTGTCATTGAGTTAGTGGAGCCATGATTTGAGCCCATGCAATTCTGCAGACTCATACAGATATGGCTATTTATGGTTGGTGTGTGGTACTCATAAACCTTAAGATATTGAGAAATTTTTGTTTTATTTATAATTTTTGGCAACTGGACCTCACTATGTAGTTAATACTAGCCTCAAACTCTTGATTCTCCTGGCTCAGCCTCCTAAGTGCTGATTAAACCCCAGGCTTTGGGAAAATGTTAAATCCATACTTAGCATTAACTGAAAGAGACAGTCTGGTCTTGGAAAGTCTAGTGTGACACTAAAATACAAAACTAGACTTTCCTTAGAATTGCATATCCGGTGCCACAGGCATCTCAGAAACCTGGAACTGAATACCCTTTCACTAAATGCTAGATCAGAAGCTGATAGCTATTTTGAATGGCTAGAATATTTCCTCTGTATTATTTATAAACTCAGCCTTCCCCCAACCATAAATGTGCTCATTGTAACCCACCTTTTGTCTCTGTCTGCATTTAGGGTGAAGAGATTATTTCCCAGCATTCCCCTTCCCAGGAGAGCAGTGCAGAAGACAGTGAGGATGGCACAGCATCCCAGGTCTCAAAGAGCAAAGCAACAGAGGTATCTGCAATTTCTGTACAATGGGCTGAGAGTTAGAATTCAGTGGTGGAGCATGTGCTTAGCATGCACAAGTCCTGCACCAAAGCAAGGAGAATTGAATCCCTGCACCAAAGCAAGGAGAATTTGCCTTCTCTTATACATCTTCCCATTTGCTTGGTCCTGTGTATGAAACCATTCTAGAAGGGAGAAGGGAAAAGATCAGCATATCTGTGTTGAAAAGATGAGTTAGACCATTTCAATGTTCTTTTTTTTTTGGTCAGGGTCTCCCTGTAGCTCCAGCTGTCCTGGAACTCACTATGTAGACCAGGCTGGTCTTGAACTCATGGAGATCCGCCTGCCTCTGCCTCCACATGCGTCACCATGCCCGGCCTTATTTTTTCTTTTTGAGACAGACATCTCACTATGTAGACACTTGAACTCACAGAGAAGAGAGATCTGCCTGCCTCTGCCTCCTGAGTGTTGGGATTAAAGGTATGCACCACCATGCCTGGCCATTACAACCTGATTTAACATGCAAAAATGGAAATCTGAAAGCATTTGAAAAAAGCAGAAGCCTAGACAGGTTGCCATCACAGAGGAGTGAAATAAACAGATCCTCATTCTTTTCCGTGGACTGATGCTTTTGTGAATATAAAGAACACTAAGTAAAACTTTGCACATCAAATTTTACTCCAGTTCATTTGAGTTCTGGATGCCAAGAAATTTAGCTAGAAAAATCCTTGCTGTTTGGAAGCTGCAAAAAGGTGCAAAAAGACAGAGATGGTTCTGTTTTAGTTCTGTAACAGGCCTCTTCCACCTTGTTCTCATAAGGAATTGAAGTAGCCTATACCTTCTCCTAAGCAAACCTTTTCTAGTAGAGGCACAAACCAGACAAATTTATTCTGGATTCCTGTTGGAATATTCCAGGACTGGTAATAACTACTACTTTGTACATAGAATACACACACATACACACAGTTATTTATTTATATACTTGTTTATATAGGGTCTTGCTATGTAGCCCAGATTGGCCTTGAACTTAGAATCCTCTTGCTTTAGCCTTGTACTACCTACTCATGTTTGTTCTATAATGAACCCTAATGTAACTTTCTTTATTCCTGTGTCTTATTCCTGAAGAAGAGCTGGAGAGCTCTGGCTTATGTCATGTAAGTTTGGTTCGGTTGCAAATGATTCTATATCAAAATGACCTGAGGCTGGGAATAGTGGTACATACACCTTTAATATCAGCATTCATAGGGAAGAGGCAGAGGGAGGCAGTTCTTTGAATTTGAGGCCAGTCTGGTCTACTTAGGAGTTCTAGGATACACAGTGAGACTGTCTTTAAAAAACAAAACAACAACAAAAAAGTTGAAAAGGCCTTCTCTCTTGGCTTACAGTCCTTGTCAAGAATAATAGGGGAGCCAGGTTTGGTGGTACATGCCTCTAATCCCAGCATTTAGGAAGCTGATATAGGAGGACTGTAATTTTGAGGCCTGCCTGAGGCATATAGCATAATTTTATCTCAAAAATAAGTGGGAAAACCTCCAGCAAGGCATGGTGGAACACACCTGTAACCCAGAAACATACCTGCTCTACTTGGGAGGTAGAAGCAGAAGGAACATGGGTTCAAGGTTATACTTGTTAACATAGTGAGTTTGAGACCAGCCTCGGCTACATAAGACCTTGTCTCAAAAAAAAAATTTAAAAGAAGAGGAGGGGGAAGAGGGGGAGGAGGAGGATGGAGGAAAGAGGAAGGAAGAGGGTCAAGGGGGAGAGAACTTCTGCTTTACCTTAACTAATGTTTTTAAATACAGCATTGAAGCTGGGCATGGTAGTGCATGCCTTTAATCCCAGCACTCAGGAGGCAGGCAGAGGTAGGCAGATCTCTGCAAGAGTGAGGCCAGCATGGTCTACATAGTGAGTTCCGGGCCAGCTGAGGCTACAGGGAGTCCTTGTCTCAAAAAGACCAAAATAAAAATAAATAAATCATTGATTTTTAAAAATATTTTATTATTTTATGTGTATGAGTATATTGCCTGCATGTATGTGAGTACACCTGTGTTATGCAGTGCCGTGGAGGTCAGAAGAGAGCTTCGGATTTCCCTGGAACTGGAGTTAAGGACAGTTCATAGCCACCATGTGGGTTCTAGGAATCGGACCTGGGTCCTCTGCAAGAGCCATCAGTGCTCTTAACCACTGAACCATCTCTCCAGCCCCATAAAGCATTGATTTTAAGAATGAAGACTGTATAGTGGTACATCTGTGAGAGCTAGGTTGCAAGAATCTGCCTAAAGTACTTTGTCTTTGTCCCTTAGGATAGTGACGAAGATGAAGCAAGTGATGGAGAAAAGGAGAAAGATAGTGATGAAACTGATGACAGCTCTGATTGACCCTGGAATGCTGCTACCCCTTCCCCATCTCTGGCAGCCTCTTAGCATTTTCTGTTGAAGGTTTGAAGTCTGTTGTCTGAAGACAACAGGACAGAAGCATCCTGTTTTGTCCTTGAAGAAAGGCTTTTTATTTAATTAACTGGATTTCACAGATTGTCTAATTGCATCTAGGTCCCTGGCTCAGGAGTCCAGTGTGTAGCATCTTTCAATGGTTTGGATACATATGGCAGTGCTACACTGCAAAGTAAACATCAGGGTCATGATTCTGAGAACTACTTTAAAATTTTTTATTTGTTCTAGATTTTAGGCTTATGCTAACTTTACAAATAAATTCTAAGTTTTGCTTCAGCTACCTATTCTTTTTAGATGTCTTTCATTATTCAAGGGTTAGGTGGAATCGAGTTGAGGTTTTTGTACTCAGACTGGTGTCAACATAGTTCTTCTGGCTAAAATCATGTCCCCAATTATAAGAACTATTCATTTGTGATTAAGATGATCTTTGTGATCTTTCTAGAGGAGTGACTTGACCTTGTCAGAGACCAAAGAAAGTCGGAAAGAATATTTTGACTTCCTTTTAATTTTTAAACATTTAATGTTTGTGTTTGTATTTGTGGGGTCACATGGGAGCCATGGTGCACACCTGGAGGTGAGAGAACTTACAAGAGTTGGTTCTTCCAGACCCCTTTTTAACTTTTTTTTTCCAGTTAAAATTTTTTAATATAAAACAAAACACAGCTGGGCATGTACATGCCTTTAATCCCGGCATTTGGGAGGCAGGAGGCAGAGGCAGGCAGATCTTTGTGAGTTCAAGGCCAGTTGGGGCTACAGGAAGATCCTGTCTCAAAAAGACCCCCCCCCCAAAAAAAAATCACAGCCAGGCCTGGTGGTGCATGCCTTTAATCCCAGCAGAGGCAGGTGGATCTCTGTGAGTTCAAGGCCAACCTGGTCTATATAGCGAGTTCCAGGCCAGCTGGAGCTACAGAGAATCCCTGTCTCAACCAACCAACCAAACAACAAAACCCACATCATCAAACTTATACTGACTTCCTATGTATATATAGTATTCATTTCCACATTCTGAATTATGCCTAGAATCTAGTTGTAAGAATCATACAAAATACTTGTAGTTTATTAGAATTAGAACATCAGGAGGTAAAATGCCGAATCGCCTATCTTCTGCCAGAAAACCCAGTCCAAACGCTGCTATCAAGTTCTTGCTTGTCAGGCTGTAAAGATTAATATTTGTTAATTTTTTATCCACATTGGTATTAGAGTTGTGGGGTTAGGTTTGCTGCTGTTCTCTTTTTTTTTTTCCTTGATGGGGGAAGGGTATTTTTTTAACTAGTCCTTATCTCACATAAAGATGTTTTGACCCCTTCATCCTCTGGTACACAGAAATCCATGTCTTTTCTTGGTGTTTCTTTTGTTCCCTAGCTCATCTTCATCTTAAGTATTTGCATGCACACTAGGCTGGTTGGTTTATATGATTTGTTTCTTTACCACATGTACACGTCAATGTTAGTTTGACTTTTAAATGGCCCTTCAACTTTACAATGGAAATGACTTCCTTGTTCAGTATCATTGGTCATTTTTAGAGAGAAAAGGAGGAGAGGAACTCCTCAATTGTCACTATTTGACAGAAAAGCAAAATATCTGGCGTGATGTCAGTTTGATTCACATGGACAGGTCTGTGTAAGCTTTCGGTACATACCAGAGAGCATGGTTTGGAGAACTGGGGTCAGGTGGGAACCCTTTACTTGGAATGTTGCAAGGCAAAGGTGCACTTTTTGTATGTCGCATACAGCAAGAGGATAGAGCGGAGCATCTGTTTGCACATAGTCACTGTCATCTGAATCTGAGGCTCCTTAAGTCCAGTAGGCCACTGGTGCTCTCTGCTGATAATTTTGCAAAAAGCTGACTTGTCTGAAACTCTGAAGGTCCCAGTCCACTTGGGTGGCTGAGCTGTGATGACCCTGCCAAAGACAGAATCTACTCCACTGAGGCGGACGGGCTGGGGCTTCCAGACCATTCCTTTTTTGTTGTTTGCGGTTCGGAACTCTGGTGTGTGGCAGGGTAGCTTGGGGCTCTCTCCAGTTTCCACAAGTGGGCTGTCTAGGACTAGAGTGACTTCTTGAAAGCACAGCTGCACTTCGAGGTCAGAAGGAGTGTGGGGGAAACAAGGGGAGCCCCTAAATGGGTGTTTGGAGGAAGGAGTAGGTGACGTGTGCCGCAGCCATTGGAAGCTCTCATCCAGTGGGGTCCATGGTGACCAGAGCTGGTATGCTGCCATTGACAGTCCTAAAGAAGAAGAATGAGACATGGATTTCCCTGCTGTGCTTTTTTTGGGGTGGGGGTGGGGGGTGGGAGTGGACCTGAACAAATTCACGTCTGTCTTACCACTGACTTAAACTTAGTGGTTCCCATTGAACAGATACCAGTAGATGACAGAGTATTGGTGACTTGGTAAAGGGAAACAGAGGGTGGCAACAGATAATGTGGCAACTGCTGTATTAAACTTCAGTAAGCCTTTTACAAACAGGAAAGCTAACTCATCTACAGATGAGATGGATTTGTCTAAAAATGGAGTACCTCAATCAGTGCCTCTGGGTGGCACAGGCTGCTAGACTTCATGATAAGACCTTCCTATATGATATGAGATTAGAAGAAACTCAGCCTTACAAGCATTTGTGATTGGAACTCCATTAGAGGTTCTCAAAGTGTGACCCCTGGATTTGTTCAACATCATTAGGAATTTAGTAGAAACACAAGTCCTTGGGCCCCACCTCAGACATACAGAATTAGAAATTTGGAGTGGGGCCTAGAAATCTGCACATACAAACCCTCTAAAAGATTCTATTGCACCTTATGGTTTGCAAACTACTTTTCAGTGTTCCTTTTAGGCAACCTCCAGTTTTCACTATTCATTATAGAGACAAAACAACAAAAAAGCAAAACAAAAAACAAACAAAAAAAAACTTTTCAGGCATAATGATTCATGCCTGTAATCTCAGCGCTTGAGAGGCAGATGCAGGAGAATTGTTAGAAATTTGAGGCCAGCCTGATCCACAGAGCGAGTTTCAGGCCAGCTTGGGGCCACAGAGAGACCATGTCTCAAAAAAGCAAACAGAAAAAAAAACCATAAAACATACTGGAGAGGTGTCTCCAGTTAAGATCACTTGCTACTTCAGAGGACCTGATTTGGGTTCCCTGCACCCACATGAGGCATGCTCACAACTGCCTATAAGTACAGCTCCAGGGGATCCAACACCCTCTTCTTGCGTCCTTGGGCACCTTTGCACATGTGGACAGACACAAACACATATACAATAAATCTTTTTTTAAAATATGGAGAAAATCTCTTCTTGGCCCTAAAAGCTTATGTTTTCTACTACAAGAGAAGAGCTCTACAGCCCTAGGCAACTATGTACCATCTTGGAGGAATTACACATGCTACAAGGGGGTTTTCAAAGCCCAGTCTTTAAGATTTGTTCATTTTTTCCTATAGGTGTGAATACTGGTTTTTCAAGTATGAAATACTCAATGGCTGAGACCTTGATTTTTCTTTGTCAAGGTAAGGGCTAGGAAAATATTGTTAGCTCAAAATTTATCCAAGTAGATGTGAATTTTCCATTATTCAAAATTGACAGTAAAGAGTTTTACTGAATTTGGGCTGGAGAGATGGCTCAGCGGTTAAGAACACTGACTGTTCTTGCAGAAGACCCAGGTTTGAATCCCAGCACCCACATGGCAGCTAACAACTGTCTGTAACTCCAGTTCCAGGGGATCCGACAGCCTCTTCTGTCCTCTGCAGGCATTGCACGACACGGGTGTACTTACCCACATGCAGGCAATACATGCGTACACATAAATAAAATTTCTTTTTGGTCTTTTTGAGACGGTCTCCCTGTAGCCCCAGCTGTTCTGGAATTCACTATGTAGACCAGGCTGGCCTTGAACTCACAGAGACCCGCCTGCCTCTGCCTTGTGAGTTCTGGGATTAAAGGTGTGTGCCACCACGCCTGGCTTAAATAAAATATTTAAAAAAAAAAAAGTTTTACTGAATTCAGTAACATTTTTAAGCATCTACCTATAGTGGTAAAGGAGATTGCTGGTCCCTTTCTTTCCAGCCAAGTATATTTCTCTGTCCCTTCTGCCTCTACCACAAAAACTAATAGCAGCACATTCCATCAGGTATTTGACTTCACTGAGACAGTGAGGTTCAATTTTAAACAACTGTTGGTGACATTTCAAAACAAAAATGCCCTTTGACAGTGATTAGTATAATGGAAATTTTCTGATTCCACCACTGATACGTTTCTGTAATCAATGCTGTACTTTTCCAAGTTTCTAAGTTCAAATATCTGGGCTGCCTTAGAATGAGAAACTGTCACTAAATGCTAAATAACTACTCCAAACTGCCAATGAAAGTCTTCCCATGATGCTTGATGCCTTGAACTTAAGAGCATATGTCCAAGCTGGATGCTACTAGCCCAGCACTTAAGAGGCTAAAACAGGACAGGGTAAAACCTTGTCTAGAGAAAAATGAAATAAATCCAAGAGGAAGCCAATGGTGCACTACCCTGACAAGGTAGAGCAGAGAGCATTACTCCTCTGAACATTAAAGTATATAGAGAGATCCTTTTCTAGACTCATCCCCTAAGAAGAAATAGAGCCTAAACCAACATGAAATGAGAAGAATTTGACCCCAGGTCCTTCCACTACACACAAGGTTTAAATAAAAATTGGTCTGCCTCAGCCTCCAGCGCTAGTGGAATCACCTTCATCTATTCCAAGAGGGGCTGAACATAAGAGTCCGTACAAGCTCCTCTACTAACTCCTCCCACAAAGGGAACACCTGGTTCTGCCCTCAAAGGCTTCTATAGGCTGCTTCCTTCTTAGGAGCCCTGTTCCTCAATTTTCCCACCTGGGAAAGGGGAAGGCAACGCCGAAGTGCAGCTGAGGTCCTCGTGAACTGTAAACAGATCTCTAGTGGCTAGAGTGCTTGGAGAACAGGCTTGTCTCCCGGGAAGTCCCTCCCTGGGAGCGGGGGACATACGGCCCTGACCGAGGCCGGGACAGCGGTGGGAGCCCAGGCCCGGTCCCATCATCACCATCCGGGCCGGGAGCTCACCTCCGCGGATCGTACGCTCCAGAGTAGTGGCCGCATCTTTTTTCCACCTGGCGCCTGGCAACAGCCTTTGTGACCTAGGATCCCGGAGCCTGAACAAGGGCGGGGTCGGGAGCGGGACCGGGAGGCTCCCTCTGGGAGGTGTCAGAACCAAGCCTCTGGCCCTCAGAATGCCCGGTGCTGGACGCAGAAGGTAGGAGCGGAGGCTGGAATCCCACCCCTTCTGTTTCTTCCCATACCATCACACCTGTGTACCTGTGATGAGGGCACAGAGAACACGTGTACCCCGTATCAAAGGCTGTGGTTAGGTATGGAAGTCACTGCTTTAAGAGTTCCAAGACCAGTAGAGCTGAAAGTTAGCCTTCTTACACCCTGCCTCAGTCTGCTTGACTGCTGCAGTGGCTGGAAAGCTTGTGTTCATGTATACCAATGATTGAAGTGCAAGGAGACAGAATTGTAAATGCTCACCTGTTAAGAAAAAGAAAGCTATGTCTTCCTTGACTTCCTGACTGAAAACTCTGTTTTCTGTTACACCTCAGAAGCAGTCTTGATGTACAATGCTGAGAAACGGATGTTTTCACCATTGCAAAAGCCAACATAGCATCACTTCAATTACCCTGACTGGGTATGGGAAGGCAGGAGTCAGCCCCCGATAATAGTACAGTATCTGCGGGACTACTTTTAACAGAGGAACTAACGTCTCACCTGTCTTTTTATGGTACACAGAATTAGTCCTGCATTTTCCTGATTGTAGAACTCGGCACCAGGAGAGTGGTCACCTTTGGTTATTTCCTCTTTTTCTGTTGAGACAGGGTCTCACTATATAGCCAGCCCTAGCTGACCTGGAACTCACAGAGACCCTCCTCCCTATGCCTCCAGAGTGCTGGTATTTAAAGGCATGAGCCACCATGCCCATCTTTTTTCTATTTCTTTGGGTGAAACTGATGTAAAGACACTGAAGACTTAAGGATGGGGTTGGGCTGATATCCCATTTGGAAGACCTGCAGAATCTTCAGGCACTTATGCATGTACACCCCACTGAAGATGTAAATGGAAAAGAATTTGGATGGGAGTCAGAAACTGGAGAGACCAAAAAGTGATGAGTCTCGGAAGAGAGGTGGATAATTTTGAATTACAAAATTTTCCCTATTCTTATTATCTTCCTATTAGAAGAGACACCTGCTATTTAAAAAGCAAATGACAGGACAGCTGGGGCTACAGGGGGACCCTGTCTCAAAAAGACCCAAAAAAAAAAAAAAAAAGCAAATGAAATAACTGCACAGTAGTTTTTTTATATGAAAGTCCCCAAAGCCAAGATCTTAAAATTGTTGGATAAAGAGGGACTCATGCTGTTACGACAATCTGTACACAGTCCTCTGTGCAGTCTGCCCGGATCTACGGGACATGTGAGAAGTACCATTTGCTATCATCTCCAAATCTGCTATCTAGCAAAATCAGAATCTCCATGTATTAATCAGCTATAATGCAATACCTGAGACAGTCTACTTGGGAAGAATAGGTTTATTTATATCAGAGTACATAAAGTGGTACAGGCTTTGCAAAATGGCAGGAGCATGTGCAGAGAACAGCTGGGTGTGGTGGCACACGCCTTTAATCCCAGCACTCAGGAGGCAAAGGCAGGCGGATCTCTGAATTTGACGCCAGCCTGGTCTCCATAGTGAATCCAGGACAGCTGGGGCTACAGGGAGACCCTGTCTCAAAAAGACCGAAAAAACAAAAAAACAAAAAAACACACAGAGGCAGGAAGTAGAACTCACTCCAGGAGCTGGCATTTCCTGCCTTTTCAACGTGCTGTTCCAAAGACAAGCAGAGTTGTAATCAAAGAAGAGTTTATATTGCCTTTTTCTCTTCAGTGTATCACATTTTTTCACGTTGCCAACGGCGTTCATAATTAGCATTTAAGTGATTGCATAATATTAAGTGCCTGAGGTTGACTATACCACTATTTGGCCATACCTCAATTATTATAGCAAACACTATTACAAAGACCATCCTTATTGTTAAAGTGTTGTCCCCTCCCTGCCCCCATCTGGGTCTCACGATGTAGTCCAGCTGGCCTTGAACTCAGGACAATATTCTTACCCCAGTTTCCTGAGTGTTGAGATTAGAAGTGTGCACTACAATGCCCTACAGTATTTTCTTAAGAAAATGATAAGGCAAAAGGTTTCATTTTCCAACTCTTGATATCAGTTTCCAAATCTCCCTGGGACAGGATTGCAGGAGCTCAAATTGTGACCAACTACTACCTTACCGATTTCACTGCAGCTGGTTCATCACTGACTACTATTAAAAATATAAGTTGGACATTGTACTGCACTATTGAAAGGAATTTTTATTTTTTATTCTGTGTTGGTGCTGGAGAGATGGTTCAGCAGTTAAGCACACTGGCTGGTCTTGCAAAGGACATTTGATTCCCAGCACCCATGTGGCAGCTAACTGCCTATAACTCCAGTTCCAGGAGAACCCAACGCCCCCTTCTGTCCTCCCTGGGCATTGCACAAAATGGGTGCATTTACATACATGTAGGCAATACACTCATACACATAAAATAATAAAACATTTAAAAAACGAAGTTGTGATCTAAGCAAGAAAAGCTTTTTTTTTTTTTTTTTTTTTTTTTTTTTTGTCTTTTTGAGACAGGGTATCCCTGTAGCCCCAGCTGTCCTGGAACTCACTAAGTAGACCAGGCTGGCCTTGAACTCACAGAGAGCCACCTGCCACTGCCTCCCAAGTGCTGGGATTAAAGGCGTACGCCACCACGCCCGGCAGAAAAGCACTTTTTAAAATTGGGATTCTGGCTAGAGATGGCTCAGCGGTTAAAAGCACTGACTACTGCACTTGCCCAGCACCCACATGGCAGCTAACAACCACCTGTAACTCCAGTTCCAGGGGATCTCACACCCTCTTCTGGTCTCCATGGGCATTATATGAACGTAATGACTGCACCTACGTACATGCAGGCAGAACACTCATACACATAAAAAATAATTAAAAAACATTCGTCGATTTGCCCATCATTGCTGACACTGCACACACTGAACGTGGAGCAACAGAGGGTGGAAGCAGCGGAGTCTGCGCGTCCCCTAAGGACCAGAGCAGCTAGTGACGGGCGTGGGCGTGTGGCCTGGGACTGGGTGCTCTTAGTCCTCACGGTCCAAGTGTAGGAATCTTTTCCCCGACGTGGGAGGCCTGCGAACGCTCAGGCGAGGGCGTAACTTTGGGCCGGCGGCCACAGCGCACGCCTTCCCAAGCTCCTAGGAAATGGGTGCGGGCTGGCGGCGCAGGCGCACTGGCGGCCTGTGCGGATCTGGGCGCCTGCGCACTAACTCTTCCTCAGGCGGCCGCCATGGCTGGGCAAGAGGATCCGGTGCAGCGAGAGATTCACCAGGACTGGGCGAACCGGGAGTACATAGAGATCATCACCAGCAGCATCAAGAAAATCTCGGACTTTCTCAATTCGTTCGGTCAGCGGGCGAGCAGGGGAAGCTGGGTGGAGGGAGGCTCCAGGGAAGCCGCGCCGCTGCTTCCTCTTCGCGCCGCCCAGCGCCCAGTGCCCTTACCCTGAGCCCCACCAACAGTCTCGGGGGTCTGTCCTGGCCGGAGCGGACTGTGGCATCGCCATCCCCCCTCATGCCCGTCACAGGCCCGCTGCCTAGCCTCGGGCACTGCATCCTCGTTTGTGCCGCGCTTCCCTTCAGCCTCCACTTGCCACCCAGTGCGCAGCCGTGTCATGATCGCGTTTAGGCTCCTGACTCTTCCCCATCTCCTTCAGGATTAAGTCTGACACCCCTTAGCGCAATGCCTTTGATTGCCCCGCACAGGCATTCCCCTGCTAGTCATTCCTCCCCGGCTCCCGGGTGTGCCGGTGCTGAGAGTGGTAGATGAGGTCAGGAGTGAGGACTATGTCCTTCCTGGCCTTGGAAAATCTCTTCTGTAGCCCTTCTATGTGCTTCATGGTAGATGTTCTGTGTTCTTCTAGGTGGGTCCTCGGGGCTAACAGGGCAGGTGCTTTCACCAGACAATGCTTTTCCAGAATCTTTCTAGGCCCGGCCCTCTGTCGATTGTCTTCATTTTTCTCCGGAGTGTTCATAGCTTCTGGACAGAAAAATCTGTAACAGACCTCTATCCCATGTTCTCCGAATGTTTCTTTCTGAGACTCCTATAATTACAAGATGTACAGATGACACCCAGTGATCTTTTTCAACTTTCTGTACTTTAATTCTATTAATTAGCAACGTTAGCCAATTTAAAGTAAATAGGAGAGTGCTATATTTAGAAAAGAATTTTAAATGAATCGATTATTTTCTAGCTAGAGAACTGATGAGTTCTAAGTAGTATAAAGATGACAGAGAAGGGCTGGGCTGGTGGCACATGCCTTTAATCCCAGCAATCGGGAGGCAGAGGCAGGCCTGTGAGTTCAAGGCCAGCCTGGTCTCCATAGTGAGTTCCAGGACAGCTGGGGCTACAGGGAGACCCTGTCTCAAAAAGACAGAGAAACATTTTTGGCTTTGGTGGTACAATTCAGATGTAGAGTGCATACTTAGCATACACAGCTGGCATCCCTAGCTCCTTTAGAGAAGAAAAGGAAAAGACAAAAAGCATCAGCAAAGGGCTGGGGGTGTAGCTCAGTTGTAGTGATTGCCTAAAATGCACTGAGCCCTGAATTCTGTCCCCAGCACTGCACACTGGGCCTGTAATCCAGTGCTCAGGAAGTGGAGGCAGGAGGATCAGGAGCTCAAGGTCATCTTCCTGTTCAGTCAGTTTGGACTACATGAGACCCTGTCTCATTAAAAAAAAAAATTATCAGGAGAAACTAGATACAAGCCTCTCTCATGGCACTGTGGAAAGCACTAAGGACTGTTTCATGCTGTTTTGCACTTGTAATCTTAGCACTTGGGAGTGCTAAGGCAGGAAGGAAGACTGTCTAACCTGGGCCTCAACCAAAAACCACTTTGTGCATTCAGACCATCAAGATGGCTCAGCAGGTAAAGGTGTTTGCTGCCAGGCCTGACAATCTGAGTCCAGTCTCCAGGACCTACATGGTGAAAGGAGAGCACCAACTCCCACAATATGTCCGCTGACCTCCACACCTGCACCATGGTACATATTTGCCTGCACTCACCCCTCCTTTTGTTTTGAGTCTTGGTATTACAGGCTGGCCTGGACCCCTTGATCCTCCTGCCTCAATCTCCTGAGTGTGGGGATTACACTTTGGAGATGTAATGAAAACTTCAAAACTAAGCAGAATAATATCTCAATACCCTCCTAAGATAGGGGCTATCGCTCTATAGCCCATGCTGGCCTAGAACTCTAGATCAGGATAGCCTCTAACTTGTGACCCTCTTGGCTCTGCCTCTCAAGACCTGGGATAACAGGTGTGCACACCTGGTCAAAATATTTTTTGAATTAAAATTTTCTTACAAAATGTACAGGTCTATAATCTTTTTTTTTTTTTGAGACAGGGTCTCCTTGTAGCCCCAGCTGTCCTGGAACTCACTATGTAGACCAGGCTGGCCTCGAACTCACAAAGATCTGCCTGCTTCTGCCTCCCAAGTGCTGGGATTAAAGGTGTGTACCACCACGCCTGGCTAAGGTCTATAATCTTAATAGTAGATTTCCTCAGGGAATGAAGGTAGAGATACTAATTGATGAAAGTATAGTATAAATGTATATGTCAGTGATACACAGTCATACCCAATGAGAGTTCATGTTTCCTTTAAAAAAATTTTTTTTAAAGAATATAAGTGAAGGGAGTGTTATTTAATGGGAAAAGTAGGTGGATTTGCAATTTAGATCCAAGGAGGCTAGACTGGTGGTTAGTAAATTGAAAACATTTGAGAAATACTGATCTATTTGCCCTGCTCCTCATGTAGTCTAGTTTTCTTCTAGGGGTGTTTTGTTTAGACAGTGCTGAGAATCAAGCTCAGGACTAAATCACAGAGCTCTGCCTGCCTCTGCCACCTGAGTGCTGAAATTAAAAGCATGAGTCACTGTATCCAGCCTACAAGCAGATTTTTAATAACATTCTCTTTTCCCTTTATGATTCTCTGTACACATTAACCTTAGGATCAGGAGAGCAGAGTCTAGAAAGAAAGACCTGTAATCTGTGACAATCTGCTTTTTAGAAACTTGACAAGATCCAGAGTACAGAGCTGTGTTAAGTGTTACTGCTGTGTTATCATCTGTGTGTTCTCAGGTTTAGGGTCTTTTGACACTAAAGAGTAAAGCACAGATTGGGACTCCACTCTTCCAAGCTGGAATTCTAGAGTAGAAGCTGTTCAGACAGTCATCAGCTATCTTAGAAGAATAGTTAGTTCCTTTCTCCAAAGCACATGGTTACTTACCCTGTATCATGGTAAAGACTCAGGTTTGCTGTAACTTCAAGCAACTCTAAATGCCCCCTCAAAGAAAACTATGGCATCTTTGTACTACTATATTAATCAGGAATGCAGTACAAATCTCGTAGATACATGACAGAGCTGAGGAGACCTGCTATGAGCTTCGAATGGGAAAGTACATCCCACACACATTCATCTTGAGTCATCTGTGCCAAGCCACTGTGCTGACGCCTTCCTTAGGATTTATAGCTTCTCAGCCTGGTGCTATCTGCGTTGTTGGTCTTTAGGAACTGGCCTAAAGGCTCACTGAACTGTTAAATTGATTTTACTTTTATTCTTGTATCATAATGCTTTTCTAATTAGTTATTCCTTTTAAAGTGCTAACTTCAATTTCTACAATTTAAGAAAAGGAAAAAATAAAAAAACACCTAGTAGTTACTCCAATAATTAATACCACTTTAGGGAGTATAGCAGCCTCCTTTAAACTAAGGGAGGCCATTTCCTCTGGTTCATAAAAATTTGAATCTTGGGGACTGGAGAGATGGCTCAGTGGTTAAGAGCACTGGCTGCTCTTGCAGAAGACTTGGGTTTGAATCCCAGCACCCACATGGTGGCTAACAAATGCCCGGTAATTCCAGTTCCAGAAGATCCAGTGCTCTCTTCTGACCTTCATGGGCATTGCATGACAGATGCATTTACACACATGCAGGCAATACACTCATATGCATAAAATAAAAATAAATTTGAATCCTGGCCTATTTCCTCAGTCTAGAATGCATTGGAAATAAAGAATAAAGTCTTATTCTCTAACTACTCTATTAAATGTAACTCACATTTAATGTAAACATATCACAGTAGGTATTTCCTTGCCTATAGAATAAATAAAGGACATTTCTCCTCTGCAAATCTAACTCTTCAATTTTTAGTCGCTTTTAGGATTCATTCAAAGACTAAATCTTGACTTCATAAGCAGTGTAAGAGCCAAGTATATTGGCATCCCAGCGCTCAAAAGACTGAGGGAGAAGGGTTCTGGTTCAACCTGTACTATATAAGGAGACCCTGTCAACACACAAAACAAAACACACACACCAGTTGAGATAAATTTAATGCTGACTTAACGTAGTGCTAAGGTTATAGATAAATAGTTCAGAGACAGAAAATCAAGCATAGTGACACATTCCAGTAATCCCAGCACTTGAGAAGCAACAGGTAGGATTATAAATTCTAGTTCCAGGCTAGCCTGGGCTACATAGGGGAGACTTTATCTCAAAGCAAAAACTTTGAAGGAACTGTGAGCACTGGCATTTGTCAGCAGTGGTGACATGTACACCACGAGAAGACCTGGGGACAGTGCACAGACTTCAGATTTGTCCAGCTGCTGGATGCTTTCCCAGTGTTTCTCTGTGAAATGGTGTATGCTGGGGTAGAATCTAGGGCCCTAAGCATGCGAGGCTGGAGGTTTACCACTAAGCTGCACCCCAGCCCATGAACCAATCATAGGCTTAACAATCTGCAATGTGCCTATAGTCTCTGGAGCGGGACATCTTCAGTTCCTCAATAGTGTTGATCCATGTAGGCCAATACTGTGCTATCATTCTTAGGTTCTGATTGGTTTTCCAGATTGACAACTAGAACAGTACAGCTATTTGGGAGGGAGCCTCCTTCAGTCTCTCCTCTCATAATTTTGATATGTCTTGTTTTACAGAAAATGACAACTTGTCAGAGATACTATTCATAATGCTTTTGAGCTTCCAAACACTATTGAAAAGAATTCTGGGCCTGTTTGATAGTTTGAAGTGACAGTATTGAGCCTGAGAGATGGCTCAGCAGGTTAAAGGCACTTGCCATGCCTGACTACCTGAATTTGATCCCCAGGACACAGATACTGGAAGGAGAGAATAACACTTACAATCTGTATGTACATACGCACACACACACACACACACACACACACACACATACACAATGAAAAAAGTGTCAGTATTTCCAAGTGTGGTTGCTGAGGAGCTCATGTACAAGCTAGACCTGGGAACTAGAGAAGGCAGCACCAGCAGATAGAAAGCAAGATTTAAAAAGAAGGGGAATGGGCATCGTGGTACACACTTGTGATCCTAGCACTTTGGAGA